GCTCACACACCCGTCATCCCAGCACTTCGGGAGGCCAAGGTGGGCGGATCACTTGAAGTCAGGAGTTCATGACCAGCCTGGCCAACCTGGTCTCTACAAAAATATAATAATAAGCCAGGCATGATGGTGGGTGCCTGTAATCCATCCCAGCTATTCAGGAGGCTGAGGCAGGAGAATCACTTGAACCAGGAGGCGGAGGTTGCAGTGAGCTAAGATCTCGCCATTGCACTCCAGCCTGGATGACAGAGTGAGACTGTGTGTCAAAAAAAAAAAAAAAAAACCCAGAAAACCTAGATTCTTTCCCCAATATCCTCTTTGCCAAAAGCAACCATTCTTGCTGTCCCAGGCCTCGCACCCCCCGCCTGCCCAGATTCCTCACTCTGCAGACTACATGCGACATGTTTTGGATGCAACCTAGATACTGTTTCCTGATCAGTCTGTGCCAGGCACTGGGCAAAGAAATCCATGGGCCTCATTTAGATGCTTCTCATAGCAACTTGCCCTGAGACAAGTGCCCTATCCCCATTTTCCAGGTGAACACACTGAGGCTCAGAGAGGGGAAGCAATTTGGCCAAGGTCACTCAGTGTCTCACTCAGGGATAGGCCGGACTGAAACCTCCTCCTGGCCACGCTCGGCCTACAGGCCCCACATTGTTAGCCCTGTGCTGGGCTCCTCTTCGACACCAGGCCACCCTTCTCTTGCCCGAGGAGTCCAAGACAGGTCAGCTGTGCCCCAGGAATGTCCCACCAAGGCTGTGCATAAGCAGCCCAAATGGGCCAAGGGGCACCTGTCGGGAGGGAAAGGGGACAGTGCAGGGCCCCAGGGCTGATCCTGGACCTGCATTATCCTGGCGACTGCCCCAGGGTTCCGCAGCCAGAATTTGAATCTGGCTGCTGCTGGCTGTGCAACAGTTTGCCACCCTCCCTGGCCTCCCTTTCCTGTGCCAGCTCCCTCCTCCAGGGGCAGCTGTGATGATGCATTCAGTCACTCAGATAAAGGCTCAGGGATGGCACGGTGGGGAGCGGGGCAGTGGTCACTCTTTATCTCTGTCTCTAACATTGTCTCCCTGTATGCGTGTGTGTGTCCCTGTACTACTGTCTGTCTCTCTGTCTTTCCCTTCCCCCTTTTCCTTTTCCTTTCTCCCAGGGGTCAAGGGAGGACACAGGACACAGCCAACATCAGCTTTGTGAGGCCCCAGCTTACAGGCATAGGGCAGACCCTGGCTGCCTGCCAGCCCACCTCCTGGCCAGGTTCCTATATCCCCTACTCACTGCCCTGAATAGCCTCCACTCAGGTGTGTCCCGAGCAACTGGGAGCCCTGGGTCCTCAGCAGTGGGATCCTGGGAGAGCATGGAGGGGGTCATCTCCCTTAGGAACCACCCCCACGGCCTCCCAGGGGCTGGGGCCCTAGTTAGAAGAGCTCCTAAATCAGCCCCAACACTTGTGGTTCCTCTGCCCCATGTTTCTCCCTGGAGGTGGAAACCTACATGGAAACCTCTACACAGCACCCAGGAGCACTCCCCAGCTGCAGACAACAGCTCCTGAGACCTCAGGCAACATGTTTTGGATGCAGCCTAGGTACTACTTCCTGATCAGGCTGTGCCAGGCACAGCCTGAACATAGGCAGCCCAAATGGGCCAAGGGGCGCCTGTATGTCAAGGGCTCCTGTTTTACACACACCCCACGCACATACCACATAAACACACACATACCATAGACACACACACACAGGCACACAGACACATATACACAGACACACGCTTCGTTTTTAGGGCGAGGGGTGACTATGCCATGCATACTTTTTGACACTAATTTTTTTTCAAACAGTGCAGAGGGATTCACAATGAAAACTAACACCGGTGGCCAAGGTGGGGGGATCACTTGAGGTCAGGAGTTGGAGACCAGACTGGCCAACATGGTGAAACCCTGTCTCTACTGAAAACACAAAAATTAGCCTGGCGCAGTAGCATGCGCCTGTAGTCCCAGCTACTCAGGAGGCTGAAGCAGGAGAATCTCTTGAACTCAGGAGACAGAGGTTGCTGTGAGCAAAGATTGCACCACTGTATTCCAGCCTGGGCAACAGGGCAAGACTTCATCTCAAGGAGAACAACAAAAAAAAAAAAAAACCTAACACCGTCAGTCCCTCAGTTCACCTTCCTGAAGGTGGTCAGTTTCTTGTGAATCCTTCTAGAGAAACTGCAGGCCGGGCGCGGTGGCTCAAGCCCATAATCCCAGCAATTTGGGAGGCCGAGGCGGGTGGATCACGAGGTCAAGAGATCGAGACCATCCTGGTCAACATGGTGAAACCCCGTCTCTACTGAAAATACAAAACGTTATCTGGGCATGGTGGCGTATGCCTGTAATCCCAGCTACTCAGGAGGTTGAGGCAGGAGAATTGCCTGAACCCAGGAGGCGGAGGTTGCGGTGAGCCGAGATCGCGCCATTGCACTCCAGCCTGGGTAACAAGAGCGAAACTCCGTCTCAAAAAAAAAAAAAAAAAAAAGAAAGTGAATGCACAATTCAGATATTAATATTGATGGATATGTATTCCTGCAATTTTCCCCTAAATGGCAGCATCCTTTACTTACAGCTGTACTAACATTCTTCACTTAACCGGTGATCTTGGAAACTAGTTCCATATCAAAACACTTAGATCTCCCTCATCTTTATGTATATACGATTCACACATCATAAAACTGACCCTTTAATGTGTACAACTGAGTGGTTTTTAGTATATTCAGAGCTGTGCAACCATCACCACTGTCTGATTGCAGGACACTTTCATCATCCTAAAAAGAAATCCCACACCCATGAGCAGACACCCCCGCATCCCTTGCCCCAGTCCCTGGCAACCACTAATCTGTCTTCTGTGTCTATGGATTTGTGCAATGTGGGTGTCTCTTATGAATACAATATATGGCCTTTTGTGTCTGCTTCTTTCTCTTAACGTAACGTTGGCAAGCCCCCTCCATGTTGCAGGTGTGTATCAGCACTTTGTTCCTTTATTTATGGCTAATATCTGTTGTATACATATACCACATTTGGTTTAGCCCCTCTTTCTTTTTAACAGCAATGTAGTATTCCACTGATAGGTGTATTTAATTTTTTTTTTTTTCTGAGATGGAGTCTCACCCCATCACCCAGGCTGGAGTGCAGTGGCGCAATCTCAGCTCACTGCAACCTCCGCCTCCAGGGTTCAAGCAGTTCTCCTGCTTCAGCCTCCCAAGTAGCTGGGATTACAGGCACATGCCACCACACCTGGCTAATTTTTTGTATCTTTAGTAGAGACGGGGTTTCACCATGCTGGCCAGGTTGGTGTCAAAATCCTGACCTCATGATCCACCTGGACTCAAGCAATCCTCCCACCTCAGCCTCCCAAGTAGCTAGGACTATAGGCACGTGTCACCACACCCAGCGAATTTTTGTATTTTTTGTAGAGATGAGGTCTTGCAATGTTCCCCGGGCTGATGTACCTTAATTCACCAGTCTCCTGCAATGGGCATTTAGGTTGCTCCCAGTCTTTTGCTGCTACAGATACTACCATTGATTTCCTTGTTTTCTTTGCAAATATACCTGTTAAGAAACTTCCTTGATGTGGAATTGCTGGGTCAAAAGGATATATACTTTTTGGTTTTATATATTTACCAACTGTGTTCCCAGGAGGGGGCACAAGAAGGTGACACTTGCCCCATGCCCTTGCCAACCCATATTATCAAAATCGTTAAGTCCTTACCATCAGCTTTGCATTGTGATTTTCATTTGAATCTTTTTTTCTCTCTCTTTCTCTTTTTTTTTTTTAAGACATGATCTTGCTCAGGTGTGCACCATTTAATTTTTTTTTTTTTTTAGAGATGGGGTCTTGCTATGTTGCCTAGGCTGGTCTTGAACTCCTGATCTTGAGTAATCATTCTGCCACGGCCTGCCAAAGTGTTAGGATCATAGGTGTGAGCCACCACACACAAGCACATTGCTTTTCTTTTGAGTGAAGCCTTTTCATTCTGAGTTAGTCGTCTGTTCACAACTTTTTTTCATTTATCTATTGAATCATTGATCAATTGATTTGTAAGAGCTCTTTATATGTGGAGAAAATTAGCCTTTTTATCTGATTTAGATGTTGCAAAATTTTCCACAATTAATCATATTACGGCTGACGTTTAAACAAAATGGGGATTAAGGCATGGTCCCTCTCTTGCACAGTCAAAAATGTGCATGTAACTTTTGATTCCCCAAAAACCTTACCACTGATAGCCTACTGCTGACCAGGGGCTTGATCACAAAAACAGTTAAATAACACGTATTTTGCATGTTATATGTATTATATACTGTATTCTCACAATAAAGTAGGCTAGAGAAAAGAAAATGTGGCTAGGTGTGGTGGCTTCTGCCTATAATCCTAGCATTTTGGGGGGCTGAGGTGGAAGGATCATTTGAGTCCAGGAGTTCAAGACCAGCCTGGGCAACATGGCAAGACCCCATCTGTTAAAAATATGACAAAAAATTTTTTAACAAAAATGTTACTAAGAAAATCATAAAGAATACAAAATATATTTGCTATTTATTAAGTAGAAGTGGATCTTCATAAAGGTCTTCATCCTTGTCGTCATGTTGAGCAGGCTGAGGAGGAGGAGGAAGAGTAGCTGGTCTTGCTATCTCAGGGGTGACAGAGGTGGAAGAAAAACTGCATATAAATGGACCCAGCAGTTTAAACCCATGTGGTTCAAGAGTCAGCTGTGCTTTTGTTCTATGCAGAAATTGTGACCTGGTGCAGTGGCTCACAATGTAATCCCAGCATTTTGGGTGGCCAAGGCGGGCGGATCATCTGAGGTCAGGAGTTCGAGACCAGCCTGGCCAACATGGTGAAACCCCGTCTCTACTAAAAATACAAAAATTAGCCAGGTATGGTGGTGCGTGTCTGTAATCCCAGCTACTCAGGAGGTTGAGGCAGGAGAATCACTTGAACCTGGAAGGTGGAGGTTGCAGTGAGCCAAGATTACTCCACTGCACTCCAGTCTGGATGAAAAAGCAAGACTTTGTCTTGAAAACATAACAAAAAAAAGACATTGTTATGCACAAGATACAAGATGTATCTTGTACGCCTTCTGGAGTTGTATGTGCCCTAGAACTCTTAGAAAGGTTATAAAAAGGGCTCAGCATCTATGCCTATTTATGATCCGTCAGGGGAACCAGACAAATCAACAGATGTCCCCAGCCCAGAATGCTGTGAGTGGTGAAGCCCAGTGGACATGTGACCCAGTGCTGGTCGTGTGAGACATCCTTCTGGAGGTGGAGTGGGGATGATGTCTGAGCCGAGACTGAAGGGTGAGCTCAGGCAGAGGGGACAGGGCGGGAAAGCCCTGCAGACAGACGGAGAGCACAGGGTGGGCTAGGGAACTGAGATGTGTGGCGTCCCAGGGTCTGGGGACAGTGGGAGGACAAGAACCTGAGACACCCTCAGTTCTCAGCCTGAGGGGAGCAGGAAGACTGGAAGGTTTTCCTCCCAGGGTTGCTTGGCTCTTCGTACCTTTGGGAAGATCCTAAAGGACTGAGAGCATCACAGAGGACACAGGAGGCTGTTGAGGAGACCGATGCCACATCCCTCAAGGAGGCAGAGGCTGGATGGGATTGGAGCCAAGGAATGGACACAGAGAAAGAGGACCCAGACTTAGCCCTGCAGGGCTGGACTGGATGGTGGGGCAGGGACACTCTCTAGTCAGGTCCCCCTCCCCCTATATAGCTGTCAATCCACCTAAGACACCCCAGGACCAAGCCTCAGGTTAGGAATTCATTCCTCCTGGGCCCAAGGGCTCTGTCTGCCTTAAGGGGCTGCCCACACATGATGTATTCCAACCCTAGGCAGCCCAGAGCCCAAGGGCAGCCATTGCCAGGCGCATGGATGAGCAATGGAAGGAGGACGGGCTCCCCACCCTTGGGGGCAAGGGATGGGGGTCTGAGGGAGGCCAGAGTCTGTGCAGTGCTGAAAATGAATGAGGCTCGGGATGGTGGGGGGACTGGTGCCTGGTCCTGCCCCCTCTGCCAGGCTCCTACAGGAGCTAAGACCAGCAACCTAGGATCCTCTTCCCAGAGAGTCCCGCTTTCTGTGTCTGTCTCTTTCTGTCTCTCTGTCTTTCCGTCTGTTTCTTTCTATGAAAGATGAAGACATCTCTCTAGATCATTTCATCTCCCTCTCTCTCTCTGGCTACGTGGCACGCTCTCTTCTGAGAGTCTCGCACTATATCTCTCTGTCTCTGTCTCTGACTCGTTCTCTCTCCTCTCTCCCCACCTCTCTCATTCTCCTGCTTCTCAGCACCACCACCACCTCCCTAGAGGTAAAAACCATGCATCCTGGGGCTGTCAGGCGGGGGGACCCACATGCTCATGGCCCAGCAGGTGCCACCCAGGATTGGCAGGACTGGTGGGCAGCTCCAGGGCCTCTGCTCTGAGGGGCTCCTCTGGTCTGCCCTTCCCTCCTGCCAGATCCATCCAAACGCCAGGACTCACAGCTGCCACTTCAGATGCATCCAGCTGGGAGTGAGCTTTACCTCACTGCGCTGGGAGACTAACAGTTTCCCACGCAGAAGGTCTTAGGCCATGTTCCTAGGCTCTGGTCACCAAACATTTCTCTCACCAGCCTGGAATTTCCACTACCAATGATTTAGGGTTTAAATGTCAGGAAGCCCCATTAACTCCCCCTCCACCCAACATTAAACATTAAACACGTCAGTCATTCACATTCTAGTAGGAATGAGCCAACAGCTCTTCCCTCTCCCCCTACTTGGGTGAATGCTGCATATGGAGATATTGTTCATCCATTTTTGCAAAAGGGGATGAAAGAGAAGCAGAGGAAGGGACCTGAGAGAAGGCGAGGACAGAGGTGAGGGGGCAGAAACGGGAGGATTTAGGAGAAACTGCCAGAGGAGGGAAGGGGGAAGAAACAGAGTGGTCGCAGGAAAGCCTCCAAGTCCTCACATCACCCCCATTTTCCAGATGGAGAAACTAAGGCCCCAAGAGAAGGGACTCTCTAGATCACACAGAACATCCAGGTCTCTAAACTTCAACAACAGGCACCCCATCCTGCCACACTTGCTCATGTCCAGCCCTGTCATTCTGTTATCCTCCCCCTGTACCCCTGTCAAAGATGCAAGACGGGAGATTCCAGAGGAGGACAGGAAGGCCGTCCCGAGCCCTCATTCATGACTTTGTGACAGCTTCCTTCCTCCCACCCCTCCCTTCCAGCCCTAGTCCCAGCTCTCTGGGGAAAGAATGAGCTGGGTGAATGAGAAGGGCAGCTCCATGGAGCATAAATAATTCGGCCAGGCAGCCGCAGGCTGTCCAGCTCTCCCAGCGCCCCGACTCTGGCCCTGCAGGTTCCCCCCAGCTCTGAGAGCCGGGGACAGGAGGGCCAAGCTCCCTGACCAAAGGTGCAGAAGCTCACTGGGAAGGCTGAGCCCTTAGGCCCTGTCCTTTGTCTGGTTAGCAGCTTTGAAGGCTGTGGCCTTACACAGTCCCTTCCCTTTCATGGCATCCAGGTACTGCCCTGGCCATCAGGCCTGGGCCCCTGGGGGCTGCAGCCATGGGCTCTGGGTGTCCCTTGGGCTGCTTCCTCACCTATGGAGCAGGCACGTTATGGGAAGAGTGCCTGGGCTCCCATGAGCCCGTGTGCACAGGGCTGATATGATGGGGCATCTCCGAGCGGGAGAGACAGCCCTGTGGGACACAGCGGGAGGAGAGTCCCTTAGCTCTGGCCCTGAGGGACTTCACAGGGGAAGGAGGCTGCAGCCCAGGTTGTTTGTTAAGAGGATAAAACATTTCCTGTTTGGACTAGGCCTAGATGGATGTGTCAGTGAATCTGCCCCAGACAGACTCTTTCCCGGATCCCATGCCTTGCCCCAGGAGGGTGTCTGTGTGTGTCCCCGTGGTCCACGTGGGCATGGGTCCAGATCTGGGTATGTGACCATGCGTTCTCTCTGGCCTCATCAGCCCCAAGATGGGACCCCAAATCTAAGCCAAGTTATCCCTTACCCCAAAGAAGCCACCTTCAGGGCTCAGTGGGGGGGCGGGGGGTGGTAGTGGCAGTGTGGTCTGGTGGGTAAGCTCATAGGCAGGTGCCCTTCACTCACTGGCCGTGAGCCCCACACCTGGGGACAGTAAGGCTGCCTCCCGGGTGGTGGAGAGGATCGCAGCAGACAATACAAGCAAAATGCTTAGCACAGCGCTTGGCGCACAGTCAGCGCTCGGGAACGGAAGCCGCTGTCGTTACTGGCGGTTGTGGTCTGGTCTTGGCAGTGAAAAGGACCAGGCTCCCAGCAGGGAGGCTCCGCCCGCAGGGACAGGCCCTGAGACCTCAAGTCAGCCGGCCCCTCTCCTCTCAGTTTCAGCAAACACTGAAACCTCAAATAACCAAAACCCCAGGCCCCCGTGGCATTTCCTGCCTTTCCACCACTCAACTAGGAAAGAGGACCAGAAAGCAGGCTGTCATCCACCAGGAAAGTGAGCCCTTAAACAGAGCTTCAGCTGTCCCCAGGGCCGCCAAAGGAAGACCTGAAGCTTTCACACTTTCCCAGATGCTCAGACTCTTGAGCCAGAGGGACCTTCAAAAGGTCCTATGTGAGAGAGTCGCTTGAGGCCAGAAGTTCGAGACCAGCCTGATCAATAGAGCAAGACCCCGCATCTACAAAAAAATATTAAAAAGGCCAGGTGCAGTGGCTCACGCCTGTAATCCCAGCACTTTGGGAGGCTGAGGTGGGCAGACGACCTGAGGTCAGAAGTTTGAGACCAGCCTGGCCAACACGGTGAAACCCTTTCTCTACTGAAAATACAAAACATTAGCTGGGGGTGGTGACGTGCACCTGTAATCCCAGCTACTTGGGAGGCTGAGACAGAATCACTGGAACCCTGGAGGCAGAGGCTGCAGTGAGCCAAGATCACGCCACTGCATTCCAGCCTAGGCAGCAGAGCAAGCCTCCATCTTAAAAAAAAAAAAATAAAAAGAGCCGGATGTGCTGTCACACACCTGTAGTCCTAGCTAATCAGGAGGCTGAGGCAGGAGAATCGCTTGACCCCAGGAGGTTGAGGCTGCAGTGAGCCGAGATTGCACCACTGCACTCCAGCCTGGGAGACAGTGTGAGACCCTGTCCAAAAATAACAAAACACAAAGGTCCCTTGCCTTGTTTTTTCAGGCAAAGAAATGAGGTTCAGAGAGGGGAAGTGACTTGTCTCAAGTCACACAGCTCCCAGAGGTTGCTCTGGAATTGACATGCAGGCCTGCGGGTCACGGAGCTTGTGGGGTGGTAACCATCAGGTCACACAGCCACAGGGTCTGTCTATAGTGATAAATACATACCCTGGACCCAGGAGTCCCAGCCTCAGGAAGCATAGGCCCGTCTCCCATGTGAAAATGTTAACAGCTTTTACCAGGAGAAGAAATTCTGCAGTGGCCTGAGTCTGCCACAAGTTTGGTAGTATTGGTTAAGAAATGTGGACGTCATTAATGATAGGAGCATCTCGGACATGTTGCAAACAGACCCAGCAGTGCCTCCTCCTCCTGTGGCACTTAGTGGGCATCCCGGACACCTCTCAGCCCCTCCAAGGCACTACCCGGTGCTTCTCCTGCGTGTTAAACAGCTGCCTGTTTGAGCTTCCTAAACAGCTCATAGCACCCCGTGGGGTGATGGGTTTGATCTGGGCTCCTTGACGGGGGCTTCAGACAGGACTGGCATCCTCTTGGGGGCACCACCCCTCAGGAGTGATAAATTATCAGGGTGTTAAGTCATTGATCCAGCTGTGTCAAAAACAAGGGCTAACCACAGAGGTACAAAGCTGCATTTCTTGGGGGTCAGACAGATGGCACAGGAGGTGCCCTAAAATTTTACGTGAAAAGGAGGGCAACAGCTCCCCAAGGGGGAAACATTGGCACCATGGTAATGTCATTGCGGGGAGTGGGAACCCGTGGGGGACCATGTGAAACCTGGGGGAGTGGGTAACGGCGTTACCACGATATCTCAATCTTCCCACATTCCTGTAAGGAACGTACAACTGTCTTCCATGCAAAATAAAAACTGAGGCTCGGAAAGGGGCAGGACTTGCCTGAGCTAACTGGAGCAGAAGTGGCAGAGGCAGGATTTGAGCCCAGCTCTCACTACCTGTCCCTTGGGACAGGGCATCTGCCTCATCTGTGTGGACACATTGGTGATGGATCCCCCGTCCAGCCTGCCTGCCTGCCTATGGTGGCCTATGCTGCCTGCCCCTGGTGAGTCCAGGAGGGGCAATGCAGTGACTGGCAGATCCTTTCTGGGGAGTGTTTCTAGCAGGGACTGTGGGTCTGGATAAGCCATAGCAGGAAGGAGCCAAGCTGGGCAAGGGCTTCCCCAGCCCAGGCTTATCTGCCTGCTGCTCATCCACCCAGGCAGAAGGCGGGGTTAGAGACTGTCCTGGGAGGTTGGGGGTCTAGGTCCTCTCTGATGAGAGTTCTGGTCCCTCCCCATAAACACACACTCCTGTCACAGACACATAACACACATGCACACAAATCTACATCATGCATGCACACACACCCATCATACACACCACACACGCATGCATCCCCCCCGCCCCCGACACCAAACACACACACTACACTTACATATACCTTTGTGGGATATAGAGCCCTTCCCCCAGAAGAAACCACTCAACACCAATTCTTACTTTGTTACATATGGTGAAATCAGTGCTGTGGTTAAGAGCTGATACTCTCCGAAGTCAGGACATCTAGGTTCAAATCCTGGCTCTGCCAAACCCCTGCCAGGGTGCTTTAGGTAAATGACAGCTCCTCTTTGTGCCTTGGTTTCTACACCTGTAAAATGAGAATAAGAACGGACCCTGCACTCATGGGGTCAGCCCAGCTCTCCTCCTAGGGAGACTGTGAGTGTCTGGGCCTCAGTTTTCTCTTCTGTAAAATGGGGATATTGTGCCCAGCTCGACGAGCAGAGTGGCTTGAAGATTCACCTGAGACAGAATGTGAGGTGGCCGCAGTGAGGTGCCCAGTACGCATGGTGCGCACTGCTCAGGAAGTTTACTTGGAGAGCTGGATCCCGCAAAGGTGTTGAAAAAGGATGAGTCCCCGGTATCATTCGCTCAGGTGAGGTGGGTTCGGGTCCCGGCCGCGTCTGGGACCGTGGCCCGGGCCTCGGTTTCCCAGTTTATATCCTGCGGGAGGACACCTAGGAGCTGGCACCCCGCCTCCCAAAGAGCCCCGCGGGGCAAGGTGAAGGGCGTGGAGCTCAGGTGGACACCTGGCGGGCGTCCTGATGGGGGCGACCGGGCCCCTCGGGGCTCCTTCCGGGTTGGCAGCAGCGGCGCAGGGGGCGGGGGCCGCGCTGAGGGGCCGGGCGAGGCAGGGAACGCGCGCCCCTGTCCCCGCCCGCCCTCCCTCCAGCCGCCGCGCTGGGAACCGGGCTCCGCGCGTCTGGGGCGGCTGGCAGCACGGGCAGGCGGACGGGCCGGCAGGCTGGGGGCGGCGACAGCGAAGGGCCGCGCGCGGAGGGCGCCGGGCGCAGCATGGGCGGCCCGCGGGCTTGGGCACTGCTCTGCCTCGGGCTCCTGCTCCCGGGAGGCGGCGCTGCTTGGAGCCTCGGGGCAGCCCAGTTCTCCGGACGCAGGTAAGGGCTCCCGGCGCCTCTGCGCCCAGCTGGCCGGGGGTCCCGGGGCGCACACGCCCCCGCCTCCGGGCAGGGCCGGGATCGGGAGAGCAACTCAGTCCCCAGCCTCAGTGCCGGCCCGGGTGAGGGCAGGGACACCGCCATCCCGCGGTCTCGCTGAGGCTCCTGGAGTGCGGGGTCCCACATCCCATGTGTCGGAGCTGGCCGCCTCCCTCACTCCCTCCTTTTCAACCCTGGGGCCCGAGAGGAGAGTGAAGCCTTGGCCCTTCTGTCGCCTTGTTCCTAGGGCCTCTCCCCCTGCACTTGGGAAAGGTCCATGACACCCCCTAGCTGACCCTTCGAGGACCTCTCTCCCCTTTTCCCTGTTCCTGGAACCCCCTGTCCCCTTTTCCGTGTTCCTGTTTTGTTGTTTGTTTGTTTGTTTTAAAGTACCAAGCTATTTCTCTCCTTCCGAGGAGGGACTGGGGTGGAGTCTCACAGCCCAGTGGGTCAGTTTCAGAGGCTCCCCTGGGACCTGGCATTTTGGACAGAGACAAGAGGGAGCACTATCTTCCTGCTGCTCTCCTACTAGCAGGGACCCTCCTCCCTCCTCCTCTTTATGGAGGAGCTCCCAGAACCTGATGTGGTGGGACCCATTATTGTATATAGTGTCCTCATTAATCCTTCAAGGACCGAATGAGGTAGGGAAAACTGTCCCCATTCAACGGATAAGCAGACTGAGGTCCCGGGGAATTGGCATCATGTTTCAGACTCATGAGGTAGTCACTGATGAGCCAGGTTGCATATCTGCCTTTCTGTCCTTGATGACAGTGTTTGAACCTGCCCTGGCCCCTGTTCTGGCTGCAGCCCCCGCCAGGGTCCCCTCTTAAAGGCCAGCCGTCGTCCAAGGCAGACAATGTGGACTAGCCAGGCCTCTCCAGGCCCTTTCATCCCATTCAAAGGCCTGCGCAGCCCCCACCCCCTACGGCCTCAATTCTTTAATTCTTTTCAGAAATTCTCCTTTCTCAGTGGTCAGGGGCCAGCATGCCCCTGCTGGGCTAGCAAGAGTGGTTGACATGGGCAGTGCTGGAGGACAGAGGTGGCTGAGGCATCAGAGGCCAGAAGAGCAGTTGTCTGAGCCAGGGATGGAGGTGTGGCAGATGTCACAGCCACCACCTATTGTGTGCAGACCACAGCTAGCCTGGGTCGGCCCCTTTACCTGCATTATCAGCTGCAGAATCTTCCCAGCTGCTTGGAGGCGTGCTTTTTATGATTGATTCTGTTTCATGGAGGAGGAAGGTGAGGCCCAGAGAGGGAACATGACCTGCCCAGAGGACGGATGTGAGCCACCAGGATCCCAGATGCTAAGAGGACAGAGTGTGAACTCAGAAATCCACTGTCATGCTCAGGATGATGGAGGCGACAGCTTAAGGCCCAGACTGCCCTGTGGCCAGTCCAAGGCAGGGCTTCCCGGCCTGGGATCCTCACCTCCCAGGGTCTCCTGGGTGGGAGCAGGTATCTGGTGGTCACTGAGGACTGTTGCCCCGTGTGTTCACAGAAGGCTGTTACAGTGGCCGGAGCATCACAAAAGCCCTGTGGACAATGCTGTTGCACCCACTGTACAGATAAGGAGATTGAGGCCTAGAGAGGAAAAGTGGCACCTCAATCCAGGCCATTCAATTTCCAAATTCAGTGGCTTTTTCTCCCTAGCAGCCCTCTGGGAGGAGGGAAAGAGATTGTTGGCTTGGGGGCACCAGGAAAAGTTTGTAGTCGTGGTTAGGAGTTAGGGGCTCTGGCCTCGGACAGAATGGGGACAGAATTCCTTACTTTGTTATGGATCTGATGTGTGACCTCAAATGGGTCACTTCCTGGCCATGGTTCTCAGTTTTGCTCTCTGTTTCCTTCTTTCCTTGTGGGAAGGATCAGCACCACGCCTCACCTGCAGCGGTTCTATCAACCATGTCACATGGGGGTAGGGACATGGAGATTGAGAAGTCTGTGGGCTACTAGGACCTCCACTTGTGGCCCTGTCCCCGCGTTACTGGAGACAGAATGGGAATGTTGTGCCCCATCAGCCTTCCTGCCACCCACAGTCCAGCACCCCAGGCACCCCTTGGCAGCCAAGGGACCAGAGGCAGAAAAGAGGCATTGTCCTGGGGAAGAGATGGCCTGGGAAGGCATCCAGGGGGCCGCCCCCAGCCCCAGGAATGTGGTAACACTTGGAGACCCCCGGAACCAGGGTGCCCAAGGGCTATGCAGAGCTGCCTTGGCTTGCCCCCGCCCCTGCCAGCCCCCCATTCCCTGCTAGAGCGGCTTCCTGCCCCGCTGAGGTCCTTCCAAGCCTGGAGCCTGCTTCCTTTAACCACTCATCTCAGTGCTTCAGCTGAGGGTTCAAGCCATCACCAGCCCAGACCTCTTGCCCCTGCAGCACCGGCTTCCTTTGGGCAAAGCCTAGGATCAGGGAGAATGGAGGGCTCTAAAACAGAGGGGATCTGCCCAGCCTTTCTCTAGGGGCTCCAATCCCAGCTGATGCCCACAGGGGTGACCTGGGTAGGTGCTTTCTCTTGGAGCCTCAGTTTCTCCTTCTATCAAATGCAGAACCTGATAATCCCTATTCCAAGGGGAAGGACACTATGCTGGTGTCCCCAAGCCCCAGGCAAGCTCTAGGACCACAGCTGCGGGGTGTGGGGCCCATGTCTGGGCCTTAGCCCCACAGTCCAGGAACAGGAATGAACAATAGCTGTTAGCGCCGTGCTAAGGGCTTTGAGTGAAGCCTCCCCTGCTGGAGGAGATTCTGCTGTCCCCATTTGCAGATGGACAAAGTGAGGTCCAGAAAGGGTCAGGGCCTTGCCCAAGGTCACCGATTTAGGAAGCAGCAGAGCCAGGACTGGAACTCCGCCCCACTGCGGGGCTCTGGCTCCCATCACACCGCCCCCGCCCGCCAGGCTCCTTTCTTTCCTCTCCTTTTCATCACGGCCCTTGGCCCCCGGCCTGCTTGGCTGCCTCCTGCAATTAGCCCCTATCACTGTTCCAGATCACAGCCCTGGGACCTACAGAGACAAAGTCCCCTGGGCCCCTTGTGGCAGGGGGTGGAGTGTGGGTATAGGTAGGGGGCCCTCATGGGGGTGGCCAGTGCCAGGCTGAGCTGGTCTGGCCTGTTTCTCCCCTCCTGGAGGCCTCTGGGGGTCTAGAGGTGCTGAGTGGGCAGAAGTGGAGGGCCCAGGAGGGAAGTGCCACCTCTTCCCAGCCCCTGCCCTCACCCACCCCACTGCGCAGCCTCTTCCAGCTCTCGGGCAGCTTATCAATGACCACATCCCAGGGAAGGAAGACCCCAGGGGCTGCAGAGATGGAGCACATGGGGATGGGTCCCTTCATCTGTGGAAACCTCAAGTCCTGGCTCTTCTGTCCAGAGCTGCTGCCTGTTCTCCATCATTCAGTCATTCAACAAACATCACTGAGTGTCCTCAGGCTGAGCCCTACGCAAACTTGGTCCTAGCTCATATCCTCCCCCAGCGCCTGCATGAGCGAGTGAAGACCAGGGCTATTGTGAGTAGCTAACGGGTGCCCTGGGAGATGCCCAACCCCTGCCTGGGCCTTAGGGCTGAGACCCAAAGAATGAATAAGAGTTTGCCAGAGCAAGAGGGAGGGGCTTTCCAGGCAGAGGGATCCTCATATGCTAAGATCAGAGGTGGGAGAAGGGGCTGCATGAATGTGCGGGAGAGGCGAGCAGCATAAAAAGTGAAGGATAGGGCTTGCAGGGCCACAGTGTGCTGTGGACTCCACAGTGGATGGTGGCAGCATTAGGTCTGTGCTTTAGAAAGAGCCTCCTGCTACCCCTGGAAGGTGCATAGAGGAGCAGGAGGGTGGCAGGGCCAGGCTGGGTCCCTGTGGAGGAGCTCAGGCTGATGCTAGGTGTCCTGCGACTGGGGTCCTCAAGGTGGGGGATGGGGTGGTTATTAGTGATCCCCATGTCGGGGGGACAAGGGACTGAACTTGAACTGCAGCTGGCATGAATGTCCTCTCCTGTCCAATAGGTCTGGCTAGCTAGCCACCAGCTCCATGTCTCCTAAGGAGAGGATTCAAGCACTGTCCAGATTGTGGCAACCGGGCAGGGACCCACATGGGGAAGATTTTTTTTTTTTTTTAAGAGAAAAGGTGTCACTCTGTTACTCAGGCTGTAGTGCAGTGGCATGATTATAGCTCACTGCAGCCTCAAACTCCCAAGCTGAAGCGATCCTCCCACTTCAGCCTCCCAAGTAGCTAGGACTACAGGCACGCACCAATGGTAGAGATTTTAATTAAGGAAGAAGAAGGAAAAAAAATTGTTTTTTTCTCTGGCTCCCTTGTGGTAAAAAGGACAGCTCTGGCCATTGTGGACCATCACAGGCCACCTCTCCCGGACTAGTCCAGGAGCTGGGCATTTGGGGGTGGTGTCCACATGTGTGCTGTATAGATATGTGTGAGAAGAAGTGACTTGCTGGGCTTGCCGTCACCTGTCCGTGTGCATGTGAGAATGTGTGTGTGTGTGCGTACACGTGTGCACGTGTATGCATAGGTGTACATGAAAGAGCACTGCGGGTCCCTGTATGGACATGTGCAGAGATCATAACTTCAGCCTATCTGCGTTCAGGTGAGAGGGCATGTGTTTGTGTGTGTGTGTGTGTGTGCAGGTACGGGTGTGGGTGTGTCAGTGGGTGTGCAAATGTGAACACATTTGCAGGGGAGGAGCTTTGACTGTGACTGTGTGCCCCTCTGAGCCTGCTTTGGTCTGTCTATGTCCATCAGCTCTATGACAGAGCTGATGAGTGTGTGTGTGAGTGTGTGAGGGCACACAGCCCAGTATCTGTGGGTGTGGACTCTTGTGCAGGGAGGACGGTCATTTCTGTGGTTAAGTGTCCTGCTGGATTTGCCTTAGCCTGTGTGTGTTCATGTATGTAGCTGTGTGTTTATATGGACCTGGTATATGCGCATGGGTGCACATGTGTGCATGCATCGTGTGTACTTATGCCTGTGTGTCTGTGTGCATGTGTTCACAGTGTGCACATTTGCCCTGTGTGTCTGTGTATGCATGTGTGTGCTCAGGCCCTGCATGTTCATGTTTGTGGCATCTGCTCACTGGCATAGCATATTCATTCTGTGTCCCGGCGCCCTTTCCTGCCTCCTGAGCTTCCAACTGTCCTCTGTCCAGATTGTCCTCTTCCTCTCTCCCTCCTTCACTCACGAAGCCCCTGGGCCAGCCTGGGAAGTGTCACATAGACCACAAGGAACCTGTGAACCCTCTTAACCTGTACACCAAGTTTTATGTGTATTTCTGGAGAGAAGCCACAATTCACACAATTTTCCAAAGGGGCCTAGGCCCTTACTCTCCTTATAAAACCCTAACAGGTTCAAAACCACAGCTCTGGTTTTTGGTTTTTGGTTTTGAGAGAGTCTCGCTCTGCCACCCAGGCTGGAATACAGTGGTGCGGTCTGGGCTCACTGCAACCTCTGCCTCTAGAGTTCAAACGATTCTCCTGTCTCAGTCTCCTGAGTAGCTGGGATTATAGGTGCACACTACCATGCCCAGCTAATTTTTGTATTTTTAGTAGAGATGGGGTTTTGCCATGTTGCCCAAGCCACTCTCAAACTCCTGATCTTCAAATGATCTGCATGCCTTGGCCTCCCAAAGTACTGGGATTATAGGTGTAAGCCACTGGTCCAGGCTTTTTTTAATTTTTAAAAAATTTGTATAGAGATGGGGTTCTTACCATGTTGCCCAGGCTGGTCTTAAACTCTTGGCCTCAAGCAATCCTCCTTGCCTCAGCCTTCAAAAGGGCTGAAATCTTCACCTACTCATTAGGAGAAACATTTCTGTCCTGGGGTTGAGAGTGCAAGCTCTGGAGCCAGAGGGACTTGTGTTCCAACCCTGACTGTGCCGCCCATCATGGGTGCCTGGGGCACGTCCTGAACTCCAGAGCCTCAGTCTTCCCATCTGTAAAGTGGCTTTTTTTTTTTTAGACGGAATCTCACTCTGTTGCCCAGGCTGGAGTACAATGATGTGATCTTGGCTCACTACCACCTCTGCCTCTCAGGTTCAAGTGATTCTCCTGCCTCAGCCTCCCAAGTAGCTGGGATTACAAGCTCCTGCCACCAAGCCTGGCTAATTTTTTGTATTTTTAGTAGAGACGGGGTTTCACCAGGTAGCCCAGGCTGGTCTCAAACTCCTGACCTCAGGTGATCAGCCTACCTCAGCCTCCCAAAGTGGTGGGATTACAGGTGTGAGCCATCGTGCCCGGCCTAAAGTGGCTTTTTAATAGAGTGAGAGTTTGACTGAGCTAATGCATGGAAGGCTCTGGGCACAGCTCCTGGCATGCAGCAAGCATGATAAACGTAGCTACTGTTAGTGCAGGAGACGGAGCAGATGGAAAGCCCTCCTTGCTCCCAGAGGTAGCAGTTTGAGAAAAGAGTGTAATTTTTTTCTAACTTTATATACACGTATCTGTACATGTGCAGGCATGTATAAATAGTTGACTTTCTGTCTCTCTCTTAGTGTAATAGAAATGCAATCACTTGCTGGGCACGGTGGCTCACGCCTGTAATCCCAGCACTTTGGGAGGCCGAGGCGAACAGATCACCTGAGGTCAGGAGTTCAAGACCAGCCTGATCAACATGGAGAAACCCCATCTCTACTAAAAACACAAAATTAGCCAGGCATGGTGGTGCATGCCTGTAATCCCAGCGACTGGGGAGGCTGAGGCAGCAGAACCACTTGAACCTGGGAGGCGGAGGTTGCCGTGAGCCAAGATTGTGCCATTGCACTACTGCCTGGGCAACGAGCAAAACTCCGTCTCAAAAAAAAAAAAAAAAAAAAAAGGCAATCACTGTATATTTCTTGGTCTTTGCCTGTTTTTTTTCTCCCCATAACCAGGTGTGATAGCTGGGTCTCAGGTCTGCACACAGAGACCTTGGGCTTTGTCACAGCATCTGGTTTTCCATGTCTGGTGGCTCCATAGCTGTGGAGGCTGTTCTCAGTTTTGTGCCATTTCTGATGGTGCCATGGCAGGCACCTGTCACCTCTGTATGGGATGGCACCTGTCACCTCTGCATGGGATGGCTGGCCAAGCGCTCTTTGAGCTCCTGCTACTTCACGGGCCAAGCTGAACCGCCCCTTCTCCCAGCCTTCCCGCCTCCAGGGCCATACGTAGGATGTTTCCTCTTCCAGCACTGATTCTGGCGTGGCACAGAAAGATGAAGGGAATTCCACAGGGCCCTAAATTGCGTCAGTTGCCTGGTCCTGGCCCAGGAGTTTCTCCTGGTGGGCTGGGGTGGGGGCAGGGCAGCAGTGAGTGGGGGCAGCACTGTGGTCAACATGGGAGTCTCTGATGGCCGGGACATTCCAGGTGCTCAGTGGCCCTCAGCCCTGCACAGGGTCACAAGCCCTGTGCTTTTTGCAGGAGCCAGGGAAGGAGGGATGGTTTCAGGTGACCCTTCTCAGCCTGGGTCCCCCACCCCTCCTAGACTTTCTTCCTGCCCTCAGGCCTGGGGTCAGCAGGTTCCCAGGCTGGGGTCTTCACAGAGCCACAGACCGTGGCTCAAGATGAGGAGGAGATGAGAGCTGAGGCCTCTGGGATGGAGTCAGCCATCCACACTGCTGGGTTCTAATCTTGCTCTTCCATGCACCAGATGTGACATGAGCAGTTGTCTTCACCTCCCCTAGCCTCAGTTTCCCTGCTGTAAAATGGGGTGGGGGTACCTTCCTGGCTCACCATTAGATGTTAGTGAAAATCCCCTTAGCATACAATAAGTGCTTAACACATGCAGTGTACTCTGAGTATTAGTTGGTGTTTGGAGAAGTCAGTCCTCTGGGCTTGGGGCATTGATTGCACATCCCAGCCAACCCACAGAGGGGACATGGGGATGAGCGAGACAGGGCCTCTCCTCGCATGCTGGCTGATGGGGCAGGCACGAATTGGCAGCTTAGTTCAGCATGACAGGGGTGCAGATGCTGCGGGAGCCAGGGCAGGGTGGAGATGGGAAAGGATGGAGGGAAGAGACCACAGCACCTTGGGGCTTTGAAGGTAGGAGGGGCCACGGGGAGAAGCAGAGGAAAGGACACTCCAGGCAATGGGCCCAGCACCAGCAAAGGCCTGTAGCAGGTGTGGGCACAGGAGATCCTGAGGGCTGGGGAGTTGGGTAGGCAAGGCAAGGATGTAGCCGGGTTTCCATTCTGTGATACTCCCTCTCGGGAGGGACGGAGGTGCAGAGGGAGAGCCCACTCACTGCAGTTGTCCAGGCAAGAGGCAGGCAGTGATGGCAGTCTGGATGGGTCAGAGTTGGAGAGGAGGCAAATTGGGGAGGGAGAGCTCTGGGGAAAATGCCTGCTTCCGTCTTGACGCTGCCTTTCATGTTCATTCCACAAGACCTACCAAGAGCGCTCAGCACGGCCCCACCCCCAGGGCCATGACATTCACCCGTCAGCCACAGACTCCCATCAGCCATTTGGGCCCAGATGACTTTGCAAGCTCTGGAGTCTCTCTGCCTGGGGATTCAGGGCTCTTGAAGAGAACGCGGACATCCTCACCCATCCTCCCAGAGCCCCCGGCAGGTACCTGAGTTTCCTTTCTTTGCATCTGTTTCAGGAACTGGTGCTCCTATGTGGTGACCCGCACCATCTCATGCCACGTGCAGAATGGCACCTACCTTCAGCGAGTGCTGCAGAACTGCCCCTGGCCCATGAGCTGTCTGGGGGGGCAGGTAAATGAGGTGGAGGCACAGTTTCGGCAAAGGCCTGGTGGGGGGACTACATGGGGAGTGCAGGGTAAGGCTGGACCCCAGGGTGGGTGGAGCAAAGGTAGCATCAGCCTGTCCCCTTGTGCCATTGGAGCACCCTGGAGGGCTTCCTGGGGGAGGAATACACCATTCACCTGCATTCCTTTACTCAGTAAGTATTCACTGCTGGGCTCAGGGCAGCCCAGCCGGCAGGGTCTTCCTGTCCAGCTGGTATCCAATCCCTGATCCCTGTGGCAAGGTGGTGGGGGGATGGAAGGGCTGAATCCCAAAATGCAGGAGGAGAGAGCCTCCAAAGGGACCTGGAGGCAGCAGAGGATCCTGGAGGCTCTGGGTTTGTCCCTGTGGGTGTCCAGGGCAGTGGGAGAGGTTATGGAGGACCCTGTCTCAGCTGGGCCACCTGGGGACTCTTTCAGCTACAGAACCGTGGTGAGACCCACATACAAGGTGATGTACAAGACAGTGACCACCCGTGAGTGGAGGTGCTGCCCTGGGCACTCGGGGATGAGCTGCGAGGAAGGTAGGACTGCCCAGCCGGCTCCCGGAGCCCTGTGACAGCAGGCCAGGTGCCTCCCTGCAAGTGCATGGAGCCATGACCTGTTACAGAGTCACACACAGGGCCGGCTGCACAGGGCCTGGCTCATCAGACACAGTCAGTACTTGTTGTCCCCCGCACGGTGACTGCTTGCCTCTTGGGAGACTCTTGACACATACTGGGTAGCTCACTCACATTTTAAGTCATGCCATCCCAAGTCTTTCCTCCAAACTTGGGGAAAGCCCATCCAGACACTTCCGTATGACACGATAACAGACGTTACATGGAAGTAAAGAACTATTTTCGTCAGTTCAGTGGGTCAGAGAGGAAAGAATGGTTACACCTGTCCTGCAGATGAGGAAACCGAGGCTCAGGAAGGGGAGGGGCGCACACCTCTGTCTGTCTGCCTGGCTGCACTCCCTGTCCCGCCCCCTGCCCCTGGGCTCTCGGGATGGGAGAGCTCGGCAGGGCCCCTCGTGTGTAGAGCGTGTTCCAGGCTCAGGGACTCCTCCCACCACCCCACCTGCCTTCCCAGGCTCAGAGAACCCTTCAGGGGCACAGAAGAGGCAACATGGGCTCCCAGCAGCCTGGGTGCACTCTCCCCTGCAGAACACTCTCCCTTCCTCCAGGCACCTGCCCCTCTGCTGAACAGCCCAGGCCCCTCCCACCCTCGCTGCCTGGCTGAACCCATGAGCAGCAGATTTTTGGACACCAAGAGCTGTGTTTCCAAGCATGGCCCTAAAGAGGATGGGCTGGCCCAGAACCATCCTGAGAACCAGCCCAGAGACAACTCAAGAGACAGAAGCATTCAGGGGTCCCAAAGCAGCACATGGACATAGACACCAGCCTCAGGACATACCCCAATTCCAGAAATACAAATGTGCGAAATGTAGCCTCTGACTCAAAGGAACATGGTGCTTTCGGAAGCCACGGCTCACAGGTGTTTCTTGAGAGATTTGCGCACTTCACCTTCCCGGGACCCTCAAGAGCCCAGTTCACAGATGGGGTGACTGAGGCCAGTGAGGTGGAGTGGTGTGCTCAGAGTCACACAGCCATGGGCATGGGGGTCAGAACTCACCACGCAGGGGGGAAGGGAGGGGTCTGGCAGGTTCTGACATGGGGTAGAGGAGTCCCCAGTGAAGCTGGGGAGAAACCAGGTGGCTGGAGGGAGAGTCAAGACGCCCCATGCCAAACACCTCTGCCTAGAGGCAGCCACATGGCCAGTGTGGGAGGCAGGAGCGGGTGGACAGACGTCTGAAGGGGAGCCAGGTAGCACCCTCTTGTCGCTGGTGGGAGAGAGAGGGGAAGGCAGGTGGGGTTGAGAGGCAGGAGAGCTAGCCAGAGGGGCGGCTGCCAAGGAGACCACAGAGGAGCTGTGATGGGGAGGGGCGAATCCCAGCGGCATGGGGGCCGCCTGGGCCCAGGCAGGGCCTCCCCAGGCAAAGGCCATTCTGTCCCTGACTCCCCTCCCAAAGGCAGACCTTCCTGGTCTCTGGGGCCTTCAAGGAGTGGATGAGGGAGAGGACAGGTGGGGGCAACACCCATGCCCTTGAATCTAGCCACTGGAGGCTGCGAATCCAGGAGCCAGGCCAAGGGCTAGAGGGCTCTGCTGATGTGAAGGCGTGGAGCCAGGCCAGCTCCCTCTGCAGGGCCTTCAGGTCCCAGTATAGGGATGGGATATTTGAGACTTCCTGGGCCGGGCCAGCTCTGACACACACCAGCTGCATGGCCTTGGGCTGGGGACTCCCCGTGCATTGTGCAAGCCATTGTGTAAGGGTGCTGGGCTGGGAGCGCTGCACTGCAGGCATCATTCTCCTGCCCACTCGGAGGGGGAGGCACCATCACTAAAAGGCACCAAGCTGCCGTATGTCCCTGCAGCAGCCTGGGCTCCCCACACTCAGCCTCAGTGTCCTCACCTGGGAAATGGGCAGGATGATACGCGTCCACCTCTCCAGGTGTTGCCAGGATGAAACCTCAGAGCCTGTGGAGGAAAAGGAGGTGGGTGAGTGGATGCCTGTGCCCGACTATTCCAGAAAACTCTGCTGGGGTCCTGGGAATGGGGAGCAGGGAGGCACAGGGACATTGCCAGGGGACCCTGCCCTTTCTCACACAGCTGGGTTCAGGCTGGGCCCCCCAGCTGCTTCTCCTGCTAGTGCCCACCCTTGTCACCTGCCCAGTGTTGTCACTTGACCCTGGGGCCATAGAGCTGCATCATCAGGGCCAACAGGGCCCAGAGCAGCCTGGGGTGGGCCAAAAGAGGAGAGGGAACATCTGCCATTCCAGAATCCAGCCCTAAATCAGCTGCGCTCTACTGTGTGACTCGGGGCAAGTCCCTTCCCCTCTCCGAACCTTGGCTTTATCTGGAAGTCACCCAGCATGGAGAAGTAGCACGCATGCTTGGCTCGTGGTAGATGCTCCACAAATGTCTTCCTCTCCCATCCCCCCACCTTGCTGGGGATCCCATGGCGACCTGGCAGACACAGCCCTGCCTCCCTCCTCTGAGGCCCCCCTTCTCAGTCAGCTTCTCAAAAGGGGACTTGAGTCTCTCTGAGGCTGGTGGGCTTTAGTGAAGGACTTCACGGCGCTGGTTTTTGGCAGAATGGGGGTGTTCACTTTATGACCAATGAGGATTGTCTCATTTGACGTCCATGGCAACCTGTGGAGAAGGGACTAGAATGGGCTCCATTTTATAGATGTAGAAACAGGCTCAGAGAGGTGATGGGACTGCCTCAAGGTGGTTCAGCAGCTGAGAGCCAGGATGGGGACCTGTCTGAGCAAGCTTCTGTGCCTCCAGGCCTCAGGAGGTGGGGCTGGCAGAGGCTGTCACCTGGCTGCCTCTTATCAGAAACAGTAGGGCTTATCGGAACAATGGGTGAGGAAGAACCAAGGCCAGAATGCACCAATTGGACCAGGCAGGGCTGGGCAGGTGGGCGCGATGCCAGGGCCATGTCAGCCTCACAGTCACCTTCCCTGGGCCTGAGCCTGGGCCTGACCCCCTGAGTGCCTGGGCCAGTGGGCTCTGCTGACAGTGGGGCTGCTGCAGCGACCCCCATGTCACCCTGCCTCTTGAGGCTTCCTGCAGACAGATCAGCCCCGCTGTCCAGATGATGAAAGTGAAGCTCAGAGAGGGTGTGGGACTCACACAAGGTCACACAGCAAGCAAGTATTGTGGCCAGGTTTCTCCCTAGGGTGCCAACCTGAGTTCTATGGCATCCCCATGCCCCAGACCCTTCTGCAATAATCAGGACAAGAGGAATGAAAGCTGTCACTGTTTTCTGTGCCAGGCACTGCAAGGCATACCCCCCTGCGGGAGCCATCATGGTACAGAAGGCCCAGATGCAGAAACTGAGGCTCAGAGAGGGGAATACCTTATCCAGGGGAGCAGCCTGTGAGCTGAGGAGGTGGACTCAAACCCAGCCAGTCTGACTGCAACCAGGGGTCTTTCCTCTGCAGCAGCACTGGCTGAGGATGTCCCCAGGAGCGTGTTCAGACAGTTAGGATGCTATGAGGCTGGCAGAAGCCAGTCTCAGCTCCAGCCCCTCCCAGATAGAAAGATAGAGAGGCTGGGCTTCCTCCCCTCCCCTCTCCATGGGCCCCATGGAGCTGGGTTGCCTCTGCTTCCCCCTCATAGGTCCCACTGTCCCCAACATACATATTCCTTCCCCACCCATGGTTCCTCATAGCCCTTGTCTTCCAAGATGGGAAACCAGAGAGGGGACACTTGCTAGAGGTTGACCACAAAATAGCCTAAGAACGGGCCAGGCACAGTGGCTCACACCTGTAATCGGAACACTTTGGGAGGCCAAGGAAGGGGGATCACTTGAGACCAGGAGTTCAAGACCAGCCTGGGCAACATAGCAGGACCCTATCTCAAAAACAAATAGTTAAAAAAATTAGCTGAGCGTAGTGGTGCACGAGGACTGCTTGGGAGGCTGAGGTAGGAGGATCGCTTGAGCCCAGGAGCTTAAGTCTGCAGTGAGCTGTGATCCTGCCACTGCACTCCAGCCTAAATGACGGAGCAAGATCCTGTCTCTAAAAATAAATGAATATTTTAAATAGCCTAAAAGCAGACTGAGGCTCCAGCCCAGGCCCTTCCTGGGCTCTTTGTTCTCCTCTGCCATCCAGGGCTGGGCACTCCCTGCACTCATCTCTTTTATCCCACCCAGGTTCCAGGTATGGTGATGAGTCAGCTTTTGTTTTGCAGATTCAGAATCCAAGGGCTAAACACTGCAAATCCATCCACACCACCACCCGGCCACTCCCGCTCCTGTCTGGGAGGCCCGGCAGCCTCCACCTCCCTGCCAGCCCATCCTGCACCCCCAGTGGCATGGCTGCCTCCTCCACTCTCTCAGCCCTGCCTGCATCCCCTGAATCTCACCCTCCCTCTGTTTGACCCCATGCCCACACCGGCCTTGTCTCCCATACTCAGCCTTGGCGGTGGCCAGCAAGTCGCTGCTCTGCCTGCAGCCCTTTGGATGCTCCCACCTGGCTAGGTTGATCCCCATCCTGCCACCCTGACTTCCACATCCCCAGTGCCTGGCACGGGCCACATACAAAGTGAGTGCACAGGAATCAAATAGGAACTTTGCCTACCCTGAAGAGGGGACCGGGCTGGACATAGACTAACCCTTTCCAGAGGCTCCTGATTGGGCTGGAGGGTTCTTGGAGCTCCCACCCCCAGCTCTGACCCTAACCCCTGGCTCTGACCGCCGGAAGCAAATATTTACATCTGCAAAGTAAATTCTTCACAGGAGATCTGGGCTGGAGCCGGGAGGGCTGCCTCCCCATGGCCTGTGGTCACTGAACCGAGCAGAGCAGATCTGGGGGTTGGTTATGAACGAGGAAGCCTTTCCTTTGGCTCCTCCCCAGGGAGAGAAAGTCATGAAGGTGGAGCCTAGGGACACCCCAACTTTTCATACCCCTAATCCCCAACTTTTCACATCCTTACTCCCCAATTTAGAGCAAGGTTGAAATAAATCCCAGACCCCCTCATCCCTACAAGGACAGAGCAGGAAGCCCCTCCTCTCTGGGCCTCAGTATTCTGTGTCATAAGGGTCCCATGAGAAGGGGCACAAAGCCTCTCAGCTCTGGCCTGGCACTGGGCAGAGGGAAGAAGATCCGCTTATGGGGCCCAGGGCTAGGAACTACAGACACACTGGCCGTGTGGAGGTCAAGACAGGGAGTGATGAGCTTCAAGGGGGCTTGAAGGTGGGTGCACTGGCCTGTTTGGGAAGGCTTCCTGGAGGAGGTGGCATGGGTGCAGCAGCTGTAGAGATTAGGAGAAAGCACAGGGTGGGAACATGCGTATGTGTGCGTGCGTGCGTGCGTGCGTGCGTGTGTGTGTGTGTGTGTGTGTGTGTAGGATGTGTGGTGACCTCCCAGATGGTAGGAAGTGGCCCACAGTCAGACTTCTGGAGTGGAGCTGGCATTTGTGGTCCTGGGACCAGCCTTCAGGGCCCCCTGGGAGGACAAGGTTGAGGCTGGGGAGGAGCCCTTCAGTAGGGACCCCCAGACTGAGATGAGGAGGGTCTCAGCCCATGGGGCCCTCTGATCAAACACCAATGGGAGTGATGTGACATTTTTGTCCAATGGCAGGTCTCCCCACAGCCGGCGGCTTCTTCCTTACTGGAATTTTGCGTGCTACAGGGCCATTTTATAACCTATATCCCTTCAAATGTTCCTGTCCATTTCTCAGAACTTTGGGGGAGTTTTTGGATAACTTTTTATGAATCTTGAGTCCAAAGCCAAAATTTTCTGGTCTTTTGAACAGTTTCATTATTTCTTTAAACTCTTTTCTTTTTTTAATTTAAATTCGCAATTGCATTGAGCGTCTGATGTCTGTGCTGCTGGTCAGACCATGTTTTTATTTGTTTTTCTAATTCTTTCTGGCCCCTGGAGAAACATCAAAAACAAACTGTCTGAAAAAGAATTTCCAACCACAAGTTTACAGATTCATAACTCAGGGACACTCTAGTGTGACATGAAAACATTTATGCTGATTTTATTTGATTTTTTTAGATAGGGTGTCACTCTTCCAGTGCAGTGGCACGATCAAAGCTCACTGCAGCCTCAAGCTTCCAAGCTCAGGCAGTCCTCCACGTCAGTCTCCCGAGTAGCTGGGACTACAGGCGCACACCACCACACTCAGCTAATTTTTAAATGTTTCGTAGAGACAGGGTTTTGCCATGTTGCCCAGGCGGGTCTCAAACTCCTGGGCTCAAGCAATCTGCCCACCTCAGCCTCCCAAAGTGCTGGGATTACAGGCGTGAGCCACTGCGCCTGTCCCATTTATGCTGACTTTCTATTTTTTTTTTTTTTTGAGAAGTCTCACTTTATCACCTAGGTTGGAATGCAGTGGCACAATTTCAGCCCACTGCAACCTCTGTCTCCCAGGTTCAAGCAATTCTGCTGCCTCTGCCTCCCAAGTAGCTGGGATTACAGGCATGCGCCACCACCCCCAGCTAATTTTTGTATTTTTAGTAGAGACAGGGTTTCACCGTGTTGGCCAGGCTATTCTTAAGCTCCTGACCTCAGGTGATCCACCCGCCTCGGCCTCCCAAAGTGCTAGGATTACAGGCGTGAGCCACTGTGCCCAGCCCATGCTGACTTTCAAGACAGTTGTGTCTGCCTTTTATTTGATTTGCTTGCTCAAAATTCATTTTCAGCTGGTGATTCATGTATTCATCCACAAAAGTTTTATACATGAGGCCCATGAGGTCCTACTGGGTACTGGGCACTTTTGTAGGCCAAGCACAAGAAAGACAAACAACGTCCCTGCCCTGGTGGGGCTGATGTTCCAGCCAGGAGGCCAGATGACAGGCAGTGGCCCGGGGAAACTGGGGCAGTAAATAACATGCTAGAAGGTAGATAATGCAATGAAAAAAGAAAAGAGAACAGTTGTAGAGGGGTGAGTAGAAGCGGGAGGGGAGAGCAGTCAAAACTTCATCACAGAGGAAACTCAAACATCCCCAGGGTGGGAGAGATGGCCGCTTCTTTTGGTCAGCTTCCCAAAAACAGTACTGAAATGACATCACATCTCCACCCAGAAGCAGAAAGAATGAAGAGGGGCCGGGCACAGTGGCTCACACCTGTAATCCCAGCACTTTGGGAGGCCGAGGCGGGCAGATCACGAGGTCAGGAGATCGAGACCATCCCGGCTAACATGGTGAAACCCCATCTCTACCAAAAATAGAAAAAATTAGCCGGGCATGGTGGTGCGTGCCTGTAGTCCCAGCTACTCATGAGGCTGAGGCAGGAGAATCGCTTGAACCCAG